GGTTCACCTGTCGCAATACTAACCAATGAGATTACTCGATCCATGGATTGGTTTGGCAATGAATGGGCGCAGCGATGTAACCCCCTCGATTATTTTGGGATTGGTTATTTAAAAAAAATGACATTTTTACATTGTAGTCAGATTGACTGCGAACATAATCGATATATTGCCTCGATTGAGGTTCTGCAAGATCATACATGACCGATCGGCGACCTGCGATTTCGTGGGCTGTCACCGTATTACGTGCGAGCGGCAGGGCATACCGTCGAAAACCAATTCCGTTTCAGCGTCGCAACATTTTGCTTAAAGTTTTAACATCGACTGGGCCGTGCCGAGCCCCCTACGACCTCCCCCCACCCACCCGCACCAACCACAAGGGTTGCCCCAGCTTCACAACCCTGTGACGATCAACCAATGGTGGCGCGGTCGGACACACAGCCGTCGCCGCCGCGCACGTGACCGCTTCGGCGATGCGATCGATGTCCGACGCGGCGGCGACGGGAGCAGGAGCAGCAGCAGCGACAACAAACACGTCAAACAAGCGCGGAGGCAAGCCCCCCACCCCCCTCGTTTATACACAAACCGCGCGCGAGAAGCTGCCCAAAGTTTAGCGACCGCTAAAACGTCCCCACCCTCCCCAGAGAGCTGGCAAATAAAACTTTGAACAGAAAATGTGCGTTTCGTTCGTTGAGATTTTGCGACCGATATCGTCACTTTGGTTTCATTCGTCTCGTTCATTGTTGAGAATCGCCACGGCTGAGGTTTTTTATGGATGGGCAGGAGTGCTTTTTTTCTTCGCAGTATCTTCAACATCAAACCCAAGGGGCTCGTACCGGTGGTTCCGACATGACTCGTGTGTGCGCGAGCGTGTCATTCCGAGTGCTTGACTTCAGTGTCGCGCGCTCCACAGCGAAGGATGCCGGCCCGACACCCCCAAATATGAAAAGACGCAAACGCCGCCAAAGTACGACGGAAATCTCAATTCAATCACGCGTAGTTTAGTGTCTGTTAGCAAATGGCCTCGCTAGTTAGTGGCGATAATTACACAGTTTACAGCAGCATAGTAACCCTCCCCCAGTAGTGTTTTCATCGTTTCGTCATAATTGGGAATCATCTGCACGGCGTTGTCTGTTGCGAGATGGCCGCCAAGGTGGCGAAATGTTAACCACCTCGCCTGGTATACAGGAGCTCGTGGGTTCGATCCTGACCCTGACGCCTGCTGTATTTTTGGAGTTTGCATGATCTCCATGTGGTCGCGTCCTCTGGGCTTTTGGCTGCTATAAATGTCCACGTGATAAGCCACCGAGGTTGAGCAATCATTTGTGGCCAGGTCGCTTCTGAAAAAAGAGCCACATTGCTCAGTGTGGCCTTACCTGGTAAAATAAAAGATAGTTTTTAGTTTATCCCTGAGGCCGCCTTTAAAGTTTGCTTGGGGTGACCAATGGTGCGAACTGGCGAATGCCAATGATGACATTCTCCGATCGGTTTATCTCTGGACCACAAACGGCGCGCGATGGCAAGCCCACCGCGGTGGCTTCTCACGAGAATGACGTTGTTGAAGAAGGGGGGGGGGGTTACTGTCAGCGTGCTCCATGGAGAACGTCGCTTGGGCACGGGGAAGTCGAACCGAACGTGATACCAAACATCCCGCGGGTCATGAGAATAGGAAGCGTGTTCTTACGCAACGGGGCGGTTTACAGATGCCAAATCTTTGTCTGGGCACGGTTAACGCCGCCCACGGGTAGACACGAGAAGCATTTGCCACCCCAGGTGACCCCAACTTAGACCACCCCCCCCCCCCCCCCCTTGGCTCGTGGGCCAAGGTCTCGCCGAATAGCTTCTATTTGGACAATCCAGGAGCGAGTTGCCAGATTATTCTGGTTTTTGTTTTAAGTGGACGACCTCTTTTTTTTGTGGGGGGGGGGGGGGGGAGGCGCATCTTGTAAATCCCGCACGGCGGACATCACTTTGTATGTGCGTCTGTTGAATTTCCTTCGCACCGTGCGTAGCCAACCGTGCTAATCGTCAAAGGCGCTTTAAACTGGACAACAGCAACGGAAACAACAGCAACAGCAGCTGCCCCCTAACGGGGCCTCAACCATTCCACATCAGTGTACCCGCGAAAGCCGAACTCGACTCGGATTTAAATTTGCGTTCTTTCACTTGTCGACGCCACCACTCATCCTTATGGCCGCGCGAACCTCGCGTCTGCGTGCGGCAAGTTCAAGTGTCGAGCTTAAAACGACAGAATTCAACTCTTGAACGTGAACGGTTATCGCACCGATTTCCATTCGCTCCGTAGCTGCTTCTTCGCCGTTTTTTTTGCTTTTGTAATTTTGCCGAACCAAGGGTCGGTCACACCTTGCAAAAGAGAGAGACCAATAAACCCTGGAAATGTCTCTCTCACTCGCTCTCTCACTCGAGTTCTCTCCCGAGATAAACAAAATAAAACTCGGAACTCGCAACTCGAGAGCTCGCTCCATCGCTCGCTAGGGAAGGGAGGAAGGGAGCAGCAATGTCAAGCGAGTGGTCATCACCTCGGTGGTTAACGGTCAGACACGAGTGAGGAGTGCGACAGAGAGACAGCATGCCGCCGAACCGAGCGATGTGGCAGTTCCAGCCGAGAATTTCTCAGACCGTGGTCCCCCCCGCCGTCCCCACCCCACCGAACTCCCCACATCCCACACTCCACACACGCCGGCCGGCGCTGGAGAATAAAAAATATACTGTCGTTTTACATTTGTCTTAAATTGATCGCGTTTTGCCGACGTCTTAACCGCGATAATAATAATATCTCCTTATAGTACATTTGGTAAATAAATCCCGACACCGCGTGGTTAACTTGTGCAATGAGGCCCGACTTAAATGCGTCTAGTGTTTCGCGTTTTTGTCTCCATCGTCTCTTCTGCCCCCCCCCACACCAACTCGCCGCCTACGGGGCACCGGACCAGGAGTCAAAGGATGGAAGAAAGGGGCGGCGGCGGCGGCGGCAGCAGCTGTGGGGGCACTGGTTGACACCCTCAACCCTGAAATAACCGGGTTCGATTCCGGCCAACTTTGCACAGAGAGAAAGACCAAAGTAAAAATGTACAACTGGTAAGCGATCTGCTTCACTGCCCAGCGAGGGAGCCTCCTCCACCGGGGCCCATCATCGAAGACACGGAAGAGGACAACGTGCTCGGGTGAGACTCAGCCCTGGAGCGACCGCTCTGACCAGGGGCAGTCGCTCCAGGGCTGAGCTACCCTCATCTCTGCAGTGGGTGAGGAAGGGGCCACGATGATGGCACGGGTAACTAGAGGGGTAAAATTAATGGCCGAGGTACGGAGAAACAAACTCTTCTCCCAAACCCCACCACCACCCCCAACGTACAGCCGTGTCTAGACATGTGTTCTACATCCCCACCCCCGACCTACAGTCATCTCCAAGAGGTCACGATGGACTTCATATTACATTTGACGATTTCCGCAACCTCCGTGCCAAAATCGTAGCCCGATGAATGACCGGTGTCGGGGGAAAGTTGGAAAAGTGGCGGCAGCAGTGGTGCACCGTGGCTGGCACGAGTCACGGTGCAGGGAATGAAATGCCCCCCCCCACCCCCCTACATGCCCGCGGGGCCCGGTGCAATTGCACCACCTGCACCATCAATAGCTACACCGCTGGACTAACGAGGAACAGGCTTGATGTGCTGTCATTTTAAACACAGGTTTGCACGCGTTTTTGCCGATTTACGCTCTCGTGTGCTCACGCACGCACACACACACACACTCGCTCGCACACACTCGCTCACACACACCCGCGTGCGTTCACTCTCACAGACAAAGGGGCTTGCCGTATAGCCTTCAACAGGCTGTTAGGGCAAGTGCTGTTAGCGAGCAGCAATAAAGGCTGGCACAGCACACTCGGGGGTGGTCGTGTGGCCAACATCACGCCCGGCCGCCTTTGTCTCTCCAGCACTGATGTTTACACAGTGGTGCTCGTTTAAGGCTCAGTCGACCTAGGGGAGGACCCAGGACCAGTTCAATTATTCGCCACCGTTGGTGGCCTCGAGCGGGAATGCAACTCGGGTCGCCGGGTTTCATGGCGCGGCTCTTAGCACGCTGCTGCCACTGCTCCCCGACAAAGCACACCGACTCACACACACACTCACACACACTCATTCACACTCGTACACACACTCGTACACACACTCACTCACTCAAACTCACTCACACTCACTCACTCACACTCACTCACACTCACTCACACTCATACACAGACTCACACTCACTCACACTCACTCACACACACTCACTCACACACACTCACTCACACTCATACACACACATACACTCGCACACACAATCACTCACACTCAATCACTCACACATACACTCACTCACACACTCATACACACACTCATACACACGCACACACTCACTCACACTCATACACACACTCAAAGACAAAGATCCCCCATATAGCCTTAACAGACTGTTGGGGCAAGTGCTGTTAGCGAGCACTTATGAAGGCCGGAACGGTACACGAGGGGGTAGGTGGCCAGCACCACGCCCGACCGCCTTTGTCTCCCTAGTGGCAATGTTTACACACCGCACCAGGTACTCATTTAAAGGCTGAGTCAACCTAGGGGAGGCCCGGGACCGGTTCAGATAATCGTCACTGGTGTTGGCCGTGAGCGGGAATAGAACCCGGGTCGCCAGGTTCATAGCGCAGCGTAGCGCTAACCGCTACACTACCGCTCCCCACTATACACAGGCACACACACACCGACTCACACTCACACACACACTCATACACACACACTCACACACACACACTGACTCACACTCACTCACACCGACTCACACACACTCACACTCATACACACTCACTCACACTCACACACACTCATACACATTCACTCATACACACACTCACACTCACACCGACTCACACTCACACACTCATACACACTTACACTCATACACTCACACACACTCACACATGTATACCGACAAAGCCAAAACGAGACAAAGATCTCCCCCACATAGCCTTCTTCAGACTATTGTGGCAAGTGTTGTTAGCGAGCACCTATTAAGACCATCACAGAACACAAGGGGGGTGGGGTGTGGCCAGCACCACACCCAGCTACCCTCATCTCTGCAGTGCCGATGTTCACACAAATGCACTGAATATTTAATTAAGGCCAAGTCAACCTAGAGGAGTCCCAAGACAAGGTTCGGTGACCACACGTCATCGATGTGATCATCGGCCTGTTGTCGAGCCCACGTTACACGGTGTGTGGTGGAACGCGTTGACCGCCGGCACCACCGCTCTGCACTCATATATATGTATGTGTGCTCTCAAACAAACCATAACATTCACACACATACATACACACAAACAACAAATACAACAAACATCCCCGTGTCGCCTACCAAGGCTGTTTGCGAGCACCTACGAAGGCTCGCACAGCACACGAGGAAGGTGATTGGCCAGCACCGCGCCGGGCCGTCTTTGTTTCCCCAGTGCTGATGTTTTGTTACACACTGCACCAGGTACTCATGAAGGCTGAGTTGACCTAAGGAAAGGCGCAGGACCGGTTCTGGATATTTGACCCAATTGGCCGTGAGAGTGCGTAATCGAACTCGGGTCGCCGAGTTCCTAGCGCGGTCGCGCTAACCACTGCGCCACCACTCTACGCTACACACGTACCCACGCATCGCTCGCACGCACATGCACACTTCGACACACGCTCGCTCGGTCACATCGGCATCACTCATCGCAATCAGGCTGCGGGAGAGAGAGAGAAACGCCTTCCAGCTTCACATCCCCTCCACGTATCAAAGTGGAACATTCCAAGGTAGCCCACCGCACCCAACGTCCACGGGAGACTTCGCAGGAGGTAACTTGCAGGGTGGAATGTACCATTGAAGTATAACTGAACGGCAAGGGGGCGGACGAGGTGGGGGGGGGTATGGCAAAGCGTTGGGAGAAGTGGCATCACCCTGTCGTGAGTTTCGCTGCATCCGTCACTAGCGGTGCACACAGCACCGGTTACAAATCTGGGAGATTCCAAACAGCAGGAGGTGGGGGGGGAGGTGTTGAGCGCGTGACAACCTGGAATGTACAACTGCATTGTCGGCAGACGTGGGGGGATTCCGGCCTCCTGTGGCACAGCTGATTGGTGGAGTGCGGCTAGAGGTGAGATTGGATGGTAGGCCTGGAGGACAAGGAGGTGGACGAGGAGGAAGAGGCTCAGACGCACTCCTCGGTGGACATGAGCAGGGGGTTGATGTACTCGAAGCCCTCGAACTCTGTCTGGTCAATCTTTTGCAGTACGCTCCTGGGCACAGACACACCGGGAGGGAGGGGGGGGGGGGGGGGGAAGGGGCGGTCAGGGGTCAGGGTCGGCAGGTGCAGCGATAGGGTGAGGGTCACAGGAGGTTCACGGTCAACGTTGGGTTTGGGGAAGGGAGCGGCGGCGACCGGCGGTGTTGAAGCCGGGGTAGGGTTGGGGGGTTGACGATGGGGTGACCGTTGGGAGGTTCAGCAAGTGGCTCATGTAAAGATCAATGCTGCGTCAGGAAAGCCTCCACCACCTGGCACAGCCGAACAAATGAAATGGTCACGTGCACACGCAAGCGCTTAACACGCGCCCCCCCCCCCCATTGGTGTCATTTCGGCTCGCTTGCCGGTGAGCAGAGACGAGCAAAAGCTCACAAACTTATCGATTGGATACATTTATCCACTGTACATTAGCTAGGCCGTGGGGAGTGGGCGGTACGAGCTAGCGGTGGGGATAGCAGAGAAGGGGGGACGACGCTGTGGCTGCTATCACACTGAGTGGGTTTGTGGGTTGATCAGAAGGTATGGGCTTACAGTGGTGATAGCAGGGACACTGCGGCTTTGGCTGCTACCACACTGACTGGGCTGGGCCCTGGCTTGAGTGGGGGGGAGGCGAGTGGGCTGGCGGTGGGGGTAGGAGGGACGGAGGTTGGTGGACGCCGGGCGGCGCTGCTCACTCGTCGTCGGGGGTGAAGTGCACGGGCTCCGTGGTGAACTGGCTGTCAAAGTTGTCGAGGCCAAAGTCTCCCGCAATGTGAGGCTTGAAGGGAGGAATCACCTGCTTCTGTTCCAGCTGGTGGGGGATCGGGGGTGGGGGAGCGCAAGGAGAGCGGCGAGGGAGGTCAGTGGGCAGAGGCACGGATATTGGACTTCAGCAGGAACGTGAACACGTATCGGCGTAAACTGAGCTCCCACCCGCCCTCTGTGAGTGTCTGTGTAAGTCTGTGAGTGTCTGTGTAAGTCTGTGTAAGTCTGAGTGTCTGTGTAAGTCTGTGAGTGTCTGTGTAAGTTTGTGTAAGTCTGAGTGTCTGTGTAAGTCTGTGAGTGTCTGTGTAAGTCTGTGTAAGTCTGAGTGTCTGTGTAAGTCTGTGAGTGTCTGTGTAAGTTTGTGTAAGTCTGAGTGTCTGTGTAAGTCTGTGAGTGTCTGTGTAAGTCTGTGTAAGTCTGAGTGTCTGTGTAAGTCTGTGTAAGTCTATGAGTGTCTGTGTAAGTCTGTGTGTGTCTGTGTAAGTCTGTGAGTGTCTGTGTAAGTCTGTGAGTGTCTGTGTAAGTCTGTGAGTGTCTGTGTAAGTCTGTGTCTGTGTAAGTCTGTGAGTGTCTGTGTAAGTCTGTGAGTGTCTGTGTAAGTCTGTGTAAGTATGTTAGCGTCTGTGAAAGTATGTTAGAATCTGTGAAAGTCTGTGTCTGTGTAAGTCTGTGAGTGTTTGTGTAAGTCTGTGAGTGTCTGTGTAAGTGTGTAAGTCTGTGAGTGTCTGTGTAAGTCTGAGTGTCTGTGTAAGTCTGCGAGTGTCCGTGTAAGTCTGAGTGTCTGTGAGTGTCTGTGTAAGTCTGAGTGTCTGTGTACGTTTGAGTGTCTGTGTAAGTCTGTGAGTGTCTGTGTAAGTCTGTGAGTGTCTGTGAGTGTCTGAGTGTCTGTGAGTGTCTCAGTGTCTGTGTAAGTCTGTGAGTGTCTATGAGTGTCTGTGTAAGTCTGTGAGTGTCTGTGCGTGTCTGTGTAAGTCTGTGTAAGTCTATGAGTGTCTGTGTAAGTCTGTGTGTGTCTGTGTAAGTCTGTGAGTGTCTGTGTAAGTCTGTGAGTGTCTGTGTAAGTCTGTGAGTGTCTGAGTAAGTCTGTGAGTGTTGGTGTAAGTCTATGAGTGTCTGTGTAAGTCTGTGTGTCTGTGTATCTGTGAGTGTCTGTGCAAATCTGTGAGTATCTGTGTAAGTCTGTGAGTGTCTGTGCGTGTCTGTGTAAGTCTGTGTAAGTCTATGAGTGTCTGTGTAAGTCTGTGTGTGTCAGTGTAAGTCTGTGAGTGTCTGTGTAAGTCTGTGAGTGTCTGTGTAAGTCTGTGAGTGTCTGTATAAGTATGTCTGTGTAAGTCTGTGTGTCTGTGTATCTGTGAGTGTCTGTGCAAATCTGTGAGTGTCTGTGTAAATCTGTGTCTGTGTAAGTCTGTGAGTATCTGTAAGTGTTTGTGGGTGTCTGTGTAAGTCTGTAAGTGTCTCTGTACACCTGTAAGTGTCTGTGTAAGTCTGAGTGTCTCTGTACACCTGTGAGTGTCTGTGTAAGTCTGAGTGTGTGTAAGTCCGAGTGTCTGTGTAAGTCTGTGTACATCGGTGAGTGTCTGTGTAAATCTGAGTGTCTGTGTAAATCTGTGTCTGTGTAAGTCTGTGAGTGTCTGTAAGTGTCTGTGTTAGTCTGTGAGTGTCTATGAGTGTCTGTGTAAGTCTGTGAGTGTCTGTGTACGTCTGTGAGTGTCTGTGTACACCTGTGAGTGTCTGTGTAAGTCTGTGCGTGTCTGTGTACATCTGTGCGAATATATGTAAGTCTGTGAGTGTGTGTAAATCTGTGAGTGTCTGTGTAAATCTGTGTCTGTGTAAGTCTGTGAGTATCTGTAAGTGTTTGTGAGTGTCTGTGTAAGTCTGTAAGTGTCTGTGTAAGTATGTGAGTGTCTCTGTACACCTGTAAGTGTCTGTGTAAGTCTGAGTGTCTCTGTACACCTGTGAGTGTATGTGTAAGTCTGAGTGTGTGTAAGTCCGAGTGTCTGTGTAAGTCTGTGTACATCGGTGAGTGTCTGTGTAAGTTTGTGTGTGTCTGTGTACATCTGTGATTGTCTGTGGAAGTCTGTGGGTGTCTGTGTAAATCTGAGTGTCTGTGTAAATCTGTGTCTGTGTAAGTCTGTGAGTGTCTGAGTGTCTGTAAGTGTCTGTGTTAGTCTGTGAGTGTCTATGAGTGTCTGTGTAAGTCTGTGAGTGTCTGTGTACGTCTGTGAGTGTCTGTGTACACCTGTGAGTGTCTGTGTAAGTCTGTGTCTGTATAAGTCTGTGAGTGTCTGTGAGTGTCTGTGTAAGTCTGTGAGTGTCTGTGTAAGTCTATGAGTGTCTGTGTAAGTCTGTGAGTGTCTGTGCAAATCTGTGATTGTCTGTGGAAGTCTGTGCGTGTCTGTGTACATCTGTGCGTATATATGTAAGTCTGTGAGTGTCTGTGTAAATCTGAGTGTCTGTGTAAATCTGCGTCTCTGTAAGTCTGTGAGTGTCTGTGTACGTCTGTGAGTGTCTATGAGTGTCTGTGTAAGTCTGTGAGTGTATGTGTAAATCTGTGAGTGTCTGTGTAAGTCTGTGAGTGTCTATGAGTGTCTGTGTAAGTCTGTGAGTGTCTGTGCAAGTCTGTGAGTGTCTGTGTACACCTGTGCGTGTCTGTGTACACCTGTGAGTGTCTGTGAGTGTCTGTGTAAGTCTGAGTGTGTGTGAAAGTCCGAGTGTCTGTGTAAGTCTGTGTACATCGGTGAGTGTCTGTGTAAGTTTGTGTGTGTCTGTGTACATCTGTGATTGTCTGTGGAAGTCTGTGCGTGTCTGTGTACATCTGTGTGTATATATGCAAGTCTGTCCGAGTGTCTGTGCGAGTGTGTGATAAGTGGGACATGTGCAGAGAGACAGAGAGAGAGAGAGAGACGCACCATGTCCCACGCAATCGTGCGGAAGAACGCGTGGCTCTGAATATCAGCGAAACCCGTCTGGGGATGACAGCCAAGTCTCTCCCGGGGGTCCTGAGCACACGGACACAGGGAGATAGACATACACACATACGGAGATAGACACACAAACGGAGATAGACACAAACACACTCAAAGATAGAAACATACACACATGGAGTTAGACAACAACAACCGCCATTCGCCACTAAATGGCGGTAACGTCACCACGACGCTTGTGCCAGGCTATGTGCACGTTGAGGCCACGTGAAGTGTCGAACGCCCGCTGGCAGGAGGTCACGGGGCAGACCCAGGTGCCACGGGTCGACTGACTGAGATGACTGGCTGATGCACCACCTGTGCCCCCTACTGTGCCAACTTGCTGTGCTTTAGCCACCCGGCGCTCCGCTCGTTGTTGTGAGCGTCGCTCCTCCCCCCTCCATTGTTGTTGGAGGGCGACTGCCTCCAACTGCCCAGTAGCGTCATTAACGAGCCTCCTCCAGAGGCCGATCTTGACACCGCTGGTACCAGTCATCGGCAAGTCCACTCAGCTCCACATCCTCCTGTACCACATCACTCCAGTTATTCTCTAGCCCGTGCCACGCCCGTTTAGCCCCCTCGATCCGGCCGAACAAAAGCTATTTAGGCATGCGGTGATTGGGCATGCGGGCTACATGACCCAGCCAACGCAGCCTTGCCTGCCGGAGGAGCTCACCGATGGGACTTTGTCCAGATCTTTCAAGGATTTGTGAGCCCCTCACACAATCCAGCCTGGTTAAACCCAGGATGGATCGTAGGCAGGCCAGCCTAAATGTTTGTGACCGGCGAAGATGTTCCATTAGGGGGGTACACGTTTCGCAAGCGTAAAGAATAGAGGGAATTAATGTGGCCAAGAAGACCTGAAGCTTCGTGCGGAGCGACAGACCAGGTAGCTTCCACGCAGCGTTACGCAACCGATGAAAAGATAATGCCGCTCGACTAATTCGGAGTGAGACCTCTGCTGTTAAACCGGGGCCGGTCATAAGCATACTGCCCAGGTATTGGAAATTCTCCACTCTCTCCACAACTGCCCTATCACCAATTGGGAGTTGTGTGGGTGGATTGTCCGATGGTATAAAATACCCAGGCAGGTGCTTAGTTTTGGTGGGGCTGATGGTAAGGCCCCACCTCTTAGTGGCAAGCTTCAGGTTCAGCAGTAGCGCATCCAACTCCTCCTCTGAGTGAGCAGCAATTACCAGATCATCGGCATACGTAACATGGTTGAGCAATAGGGAGCCATCCCTTGACCACACCCGGGCATCGATCAGCCTCCCATTGTATCTGTATCAGATAGAAATTCCTGCGGTACAGCTACTGAAGGCTTCACGAACTACGTGGTCGAAATAGATGTAAAATATTGTGGGAGCTAGAGGACGTCCCTGTTGCACCCCAAGGTGTACAGGGAATGGCTCCGACTCCCGGCCACGTCGTTTTACTCGGGCCCGCTCACCATCATGAAGGTCCTTAATGATCGTGAGCAGAGTGTCAGGGACTCCGAAAGCACGAAGAACAACCCAGAGCCCAGGCCTACTGATGGAATCATAGGCCTTGACCAGGTCAATAAAGCAGAGATGTAGGTCTTGTTGGAATTCCCTACACCTCTGCTGTAGCAGACGGAGTAGTCAGGGACGATGCCAACCCCAGCCGCAAGCGATTAATTTAATCAGCTAGCTGAGATCATGCCACTATGAGTTTGAATGGGGTCCTGGGTGTACACCCACCACCGGAGTGGAGGAATGGCAGGCGCATCTTACAGATGACAAGTCGATGGTCAGTGGGCAGATCAGCTCCATGGTAGGTTCTGGTGTCAAGGACATGAACCCGCATCCGCTGTTCCATCACTATGTAGTCCAGCAAATGTTCTTGCTTGGACCCGGCATGCATCCATGATGTTGTGTGGATGCGCCGATGCCGGAACAGCGTGCTGGTAATTACAAGCCCATGGGCTGCACAAAAATCTAGCAACCTCCTGCTGTTGTTATTGAGCTGATCTGGCCCATGCCTTCCAATAACTCCAGACCAGGTGCCAGCATCTTGACCAACTCGGGCAATGAAGTCACCCAACAAGATGACTCTATCCCGAGGGGCCCACTTTAGCTCGCACCTGTGACAGGAGGTCATAGAAGGCATCTGACTCATCGGTCTTGCCTGCATCCCTCCAAGGATGTTCATCTTCGGTGGGGGCATAAGTAACCACGACCACCACTCCTCGCCTCTGGTTGATGGGAAGGCAAGTCCAAAGTAGCCTGGGGCTTACAGCTTCCCACACCTCACTGCCATGCTCCCACACCCCCTTCAATCTTTTCTTCAGAAGAAGAGCCACTCCCTGTTGTTTGGCAGACTCCTGCCCCGAGAAGAGGACTGTCCACCCCTCATGGTGGCAGGAGCCAGAGCCGGGCCACCGGACCTCAAGAAAGTCCAGAGATCCACCTATGCTCCCCACTGTGCCAACTGGCTGTGTTTTAGCCATCCTGCGCTAAGCTCGTTGTTGTGAGCATCCCTCCCACAGAAACACATACACACAAAGACAAATATCCCCATATAGCCTTAACAGACTGTTGGGGCAAGTGCTGTTAATGAGCACCTATCAAGGCCAGAACGGTACTTGAGGGGGTGGGTGGCCAGCACCACGCCGGGCCGCCTTTGTCTCCCCAGTGGCGATGTTTACACACCGCACCAGGTACTAATTTGAGGCTGGGTCGATCTACGGGAGGCCCAGGACCGGTTCAGATAATCGTCACTGGTGTTGGCCGTGAGCGGATACCGAACTCGGGTCACCGACTTGAAGCGCAGGGCGCTAACCGCGACACAACCGCTCCCCACCTAAACACACCAGCACACACCCACAGACACCCACAGACACACACACACCCAACAGACACGCACACAGAAACACGCGCGGCAAGCTGGCATCTCCCGCACCTTGTCGAGGAATCCCTTGAGCACGTTGGCCGCCTTCACCGAGAGGGACCTCGGGATCCTGATCTGCTTCTCCAGAATCACTGTACCAACGAGAGAGAGGGGGGCCCATGGCACGACGCGTCGCCATTAGTCTCCTGGCACTAGCCGGGGCACCGCCGCTGGGCCTGGGGCTGGCCTGCCACCCCCCGCCCCGCGCTCCCCATTGAAGGGCCGTGGGTCCCTCCGCCTAGCGACCGCTCCGGGCCTCGAGTGGCCACGTTATAACCCAATCCCCCTCCTTCACTGCTCTTTCTGCGGCGGCGGCGGCGTCGTCGTTATCCAAATGACCGCGCGGGTTGTTGCTTTGCAGAGAGCGTTCCTCGAATGCGCACAGTGGAGTGCCCGGGGAATTATGCGGACGGACATACCGCGTGTCGTGTATATTGTGGGTGGGGTGGGGGGGGAGAGGTGGGGGGTGGTGGGGGGCGAATGACCCCATAAATATATTAGAAATAAATTGGATGTTCACCACCCATACGCACAACCACCATTCGCCACTAAGTGGCGGTGACGTCACCACAGCGCCTGTGCCAAGCCAGGTGCACTTTGAGGCCACGTGAAGTGTCGAAGGCTCACTGATAGTGAGGTCATGGGATAGGCCCAGGTGCCATGGGTTGACTGACTTGCAGATGTACCAGCTGTGCCCCCTACTGTGCCAACACATATACACGTAATCACAAGTTCAAAACTAGCATGCGCATTGACATGTACATTCAAACACATGCTTGTACACGCTTACACAAACACTTGCAAAGACAAAGATCCCCCATGTAGCCTTAACAGACCGTCAGCAAGTGCTGTTAGTGAGCACCTATGAAGGCCGGCATGGTAAGCATGGGGGTTGGGTGGCCAGCACCACGCCCAGTGACAATGTTTACACACCGCACCAGATACTTATTTGAGGTTGAGTCGACCTAGGGGAGGCCCAGGACCAGTCCAAATAATCGTCACCGGTGTTGACCGTGAGCGGGAATCGAACTCGGGTCTCCGGGTCCGTAGTGCAGCGCGCTAACCGCTACGCTACCACCGTTCCCCGTAGTCTCACACACGTGCACTGACACACACACAATTGCTCACGCAGGCACGTTAGTAGAGAACGGCAAAACGCCGTATGTTGTGTGGCGTTCACAGGTCGCAATGTGCAGCACAGCAGCGCCGAGCCACACCACCCAGCCACACCACTCAACGACACACGCGCGTGCCGCACATTCTAATCGTCAACACCACAACAACACCACGGCAACACAACACACGTGGGGCGTAAAGCAATAGAATGCACCGCTCTGCCTGCCTGGTGCCAACACTGATGCTGTAGGGCAGCGGTTCTTAACCTTCACTGCAGCCTTGCACCCCTTTGGTTCTCAATCGTAAAAAAATGTACGATATTAATAAATACAGAGGGGTTTGATGGAAAAAAGTAGCTGTTGTACTTACGTGCCCGTGCTTAATTTGTGTTTTCAATTATTTACCTTCTAAAAAAAAAAAAAATCTGGCCATGTCTCACACCCCCAGAAAGGGCATCTCGAACCCCCAGGGGGTGAGTGTTGCACCCCAGGTTAAGAAGAACCACTGGTGGAGGGGGTTTAGGCAATCCACGCCACGTGTTGAAGCGGAGGGAAACGGCGTTCGTGTAAATTTACGAACGCCGACATCCCCCGAAAACTGCCGTCAGGGAGAGCCGAGATCGGCAGCGGCGCCAGCGGGCAGGCTCCACGGCGAAGCCGTCCCAACGTGACGCGCGGTAGTGGCTTCCGGCTCACCGCCCCGCGCCGACGTGAATTACCAACAACACAAGCAACCGCCGTGTCAGTAACAAACAACAAAGCGTCGCCTTTGGAAGGTGCAGGGGGGACAGGAGAGATGGGGGGGGGGGGGGGGGGCGGAGGCCGTGGGGATGCGAGCGTCGGTGGATTAACGTAGTTAACGGACCGAGGGCCAGGTTCGCTTTGTGAGTAAGGCGCAACCGGCATCGCATGCGGCACGAGAAGCAAGCGACGGGTATCACACTTACGGGAAGGGTGGCGCTACCTTTGTAAACGTGTCCTGGAGAAACCAGCCCACAACAACACACAGCGAGTGCTCGGACGCGCACACACGCACACACACCATGACAAACGCACACGCATGGGATGGGACACACATCCAGACACACGGGACAGAATACTCACAGACACACGGGATAGGACACGCACACACCAGACAGAAGACAGACGTGGGACAGAACACGCAAGGATTGTTGACGCAGAAGAGAGACAAGACACATTGACACACATACACACGCATGGAAAGAAGGAAGGAGAGACAGGAAACAGAGAGAGCATGGCGTGCACCATTTTCCAGGTGGAACAAAAACATTTTTTAGCCGTCAGCCACGGGCGAGCCTCTCCCGCTGTGCTTGCGGGCGGTGCCGCGCGTTGTTTCCACACGACATCCGACGTTTCGCTCCACGCGCTTCAGTTCGGTCACTGAAGCGACCGCCGGTACGTGGAGTGGAACCGTTGCCCCGAGCGGCACCACAACCCGAACACGCAGCGGCACAGCGGCACAGCGGCACAGCCTCACAGCTGCGCCGCCTCAGTCTCACCACAGCCACACAAGAGCACAACCGCGGAAACATGCGCGCAGTTTGGCGATGTCCGACTTCGTGGTGGCCGCGTGGATCGTGGGGGCCGCGTGGATCGTGGGGAGGGACTAACACCGACGCCACTGAGTGGACTCATTGATATGACTTCGTGTTGTTGTTCACGCCTTTTATTTTTATGCCATTTCTTGATTTGTTTAAATTCATGTTTTATTTTCTGCAGGTTTTCATTATTCATAATAATTGTTACAAATAGGATTTAGCCATTATATATATAATTATCGTACAGGGTTGTGAGATGCAATTCCCATGAATTATGCGACATATTTTTTTTTTAGAGCAATGGATTTCGCTGCACTGGCCCTCTGCTGATGACGTGGCCTCCCCATCTCCCCACCCATCACCCCACCCATCCCCCCAGCAACCCATCCCAAGCACTTGCCAGGTTCAACTCTGCTTAGCTCTGGAGATCTGACGAGACAGGGCACACCCCCCACTACCCCCCACAACCCCCACCTCCACCCACCATGTGGCTGTTGATTTAATTTTATACCATGGGTTGCTGAGCATAGGGGCCAAAAAAACGCCAAGAGGCCAGCAACAAACCGCCCCCCCCCCCCCCCCCACCTAGTGAAGGTGTAACAGAGAATCGGAGATTGAAAAAAAAATGTCAATGTCGTTCTTGAAGTGAGCGCAAGTAGTCGCGTGAACTTGGGGGGAGGGAGGAATTGTAAGCCGGCGATGCGATGGAAACTTTGTTCGCGCAGTGAACATCGCGGTGAACAATTAAACGGAGTGTCCCTGCCAATGACATCCAAAATTCTGGGAAAATTCGCTCAACAAGTCGGGTGGGTGGGCAAGTGAGTGAGTGGGTGGGTGAGTGGGTGAGTGGGTGAGTGAGTGAGTGGGTGAGTGGGTGGGTGGGTGAGTGAGTGGGTGAGTGGGTGGGTGGGTGAGTGAGTCGGTGGGTGAGTGAGTGGATGGGTGAGTGAGTGGGTGGGTGAGTGAGTGGGTGGGCGGGTGAGTGGGTGGGTGGGTGAGTGGGTGGGTAAGTGAGTGGGTGGGTGTTTGAGTGGGTGAGTGGGTGGGTGGTTGAGTGGGTGGGTGAGTGGGTGGGTGAGTGAGTGAGTGTGCGGGTGGGTGAGTGGGTGGGTGAGTGAACGAGCAGGTGAATAGATGGGTGAGAGAATGAGTGGGTGGGTGCGTGAGTGACTGAGCGGGTGGGTGAGTGAACAATTCAGCGGGGGTGGGCGAGCTAAAGTTTCAGCTTTATTTTTGTTAAACCAGGTGAAAACCCAGGAGACCAGGATTAGCCTCATTTGCGAGAGTGACCTGGTTGACTACTGACCGTTCAAGTGACCGTTCAAGTGACAGAGAGTGCTGTCTGAGGCAGGGGCTGAGTGGGGGAAGTGCCGCTGGCTTACTCTGTGTGAACCAGAAGTGACTTGAAGGAGGGGTCTTGGAGGTAGCTCTGTGATAACCACTTCCGCGGGCCGTACCTTTAATAACACCGAGGGTTGCCACGGGGCCCTTTGAGTCGTGAAGATGCAACGCCGATTTCATCGGCCGATGATTCGAGGCGAGAGACCAAACGCGCACCGGGCGCCCAAGCACTCGGTAGTCGAGCCGGCGGCACACAGTGCCACCGCACCACCGCACCCACCCCCCCGGCACAGCGATCGTAACCACACAGTGCCACCGCACCCACCCCCCCTGGCACAGCGATCTTAACCACACAGTGCCACCGCACCCAGCCCCCCTGGCACAGCGATCGTAACCACACAGTGCCACCGCACCCAGCCCCCCTGGCACAGCGATCGTAACCTACAGTGCCAACATGCTCCCCTCCCCACCACCACCCTGTCCCAGCAGGAGTCTAACCTTGGAAGAGGTAGTCCTCTGAGTTTTGGTCCGGGTTGTCCATCATCCCCACGATATCGAAGGGCGAGCGGCCCGCCATCATCTCGAACATGAGCACACCCAGCGCCCACCAGTCCACGCTGAACCCTGCGCGCCACGGGGGAGACACGGCCCGTCCGCCACAGGGCACGGACTTTCACAATCCGTGTCGTCATTTGTACTGCGGGAGGAGAACCCGATGAGCTATGAAGCTCTTTTTAAACAGATGTCCAGCAAGGAGCGGGTCAGGGCGTCACGACAACAAACAATACACAAAACGTGACACGAGTGCAAAGTGTATCAAGGGTGAGCAAATCACTACGACAAAAAAACATAAATTAAAACCAAACTATTTTTATTTTTATCAGGAAAAAACCCACCAGGCTATGAGGTCATTTTTCAGAAGCCATCGCAAACGATAGCTCAACGAAGTGGCTTGTCGCGTGGACATTTACAGCGGCCAAATACTCGAAATAATCTGAACAATCCTAAAGGACTTTCGATTTAAAGCTTTCGTGACTGCAGGGATTCATATTCTTGGTTCTTCCGGTAACTGACTTTACTGAAAGAACCAAGAATATGAATCCTGAAGGACGTTTCACGCGGACGAAGACGCCGTCGCCATCCAGTGCGCCGTCGTCCTGGGGTTGCGCTGAACGAGCAGTCACGGGGGGGGGGGCCCTGACAGGTGGGGCCGGCTTAAATAGGCGCTCGCTAACTCGCCAGCAGGCTCGACGCGTACCGTACTCCTCCCCGCGCAGGATTTCGGGGGCGATGTAGTTGGGCGTCCCGCAGAAGGTGCTGGTCGTGTCTCCCGGTCTCAGACCCTCCTAGAGACAAGCGCGAGGACGTCAACCAAGTAAATGAATGGAACTGGTCGTGGCCAAACCTTACCTGGAGATCACTCAATTGGGATCACAGCCTTAAGACTCAGCGAGGCCTCTGGGTAATAATAATAAATTAAATCTCAGCCTACTGGATTTCCAGACCAATAAGATCCAGCAGCGTGCGCCAAGGCAAGCATTCTCTGGGATGGTTTCCACATTCTGGGTCTCATCAGCAGAATGCCAACAGGCCGACGGGCTGAGATGTTTATTTGCTTCAATGCAGAGACCACGGAATGGAGATCTGCTTATAGAGGCTTCCCTCGCTCTACGTGGTGGCAGCAGCAGTAGTAGTCGATGCCTTCCAAGAAGGGCCCACAAAGCGACACGGCACGAGGAGGGAGCTGCCTGCTGAGTAGTGCATACAGCACACACAGTAACACTGTATGTATCTGTGTGAGACAGCTGCCTGACGTTTAGCGCATACAGTACACACGGTACACACAGTACACTGCACAATGTTGTCCCACGTCCGAACGTGTAGCCGCGTACGAGTGAAATGAAACCCCATAGTACAGCAAATTTTTGGGCAAAGATAGGTGAGCCACCGCATATAGAGGACGCGGAATCGCACACAAACCGAGCCCGTGTAGAGCGAGGCGGAACCTGAATTTAGTTTTACCTAAAAGCTCCACGGGAACACAACACGAGTGTCTGTAAAATACTGATTTTTGTTTTCGTACGTTGAACAGGGCCTTAGATTTTGGATGGAGGTGCTCATGCCAATTACATCTTGTCACACGGCAAAAGTAATTTAACAAGCTGATGAGAAGAAGACGATCCGAAACTAGTTCAAGTAATCGCCACCGAATGTTGGCCATAACTCGAGTCGCTGGGTTCGTAACGCAGCGCGTTAACCACTGCGCCACCGCAACTAAATTGTCCCGCGCCTCTGATTAGCACGGTTGGCGACGTACGGCGCGTAAAAAGGTCAACATATACGCAGACGCGCAGATGCGCAAACACGCGGATGCATACAGTGTAACAATAATAACCGCCATTCACACACAGACATGCACAGACACGCGAAGAGACGCACACGTACACACACACACGCGCGCACACACACAGACGTACACAGACACGCACACACGTAAGCAGGCACACGCGGATGCGCCACGTACCTTGCACATGCCGTAGTCGGTGAGCTTGATGTGCCCCTCCGAGTCGAGCAGCACGTTGTCCAGCTTGAGGTCACGGTACACGACCCCGCGCTCGTGCAGGAAGTTGAGCGCAAGCGAGATCTCAGCCGCGTAGAACCTACCCGCAGAGCCACCGGGAGAGGGACAGAGACGTCACACCGTGAGACGGAGACGTCACGCGGAGAGACGGAGACGTCGCACCGAGAGACGGAGACGTCGCACCGAGAGACGGAGACGTCACGCGGAGAGACGGAGACGTCGCACCGAGAGACGGAGACGTCGCACCGAGAGACGGAGACGTCGCACCGAGAGATGGAGACGTCACGCGGAGATACCGAGACGTCACAACGAGAGACGGAGACGTCACACTGAGAGACGGAGACGTCACACCGAGAGACGTCACACCGAGAGATGGAGACGTCACGCGGAGAGACGGAGTGACTAGGGGGTTGATCTATGTGAGCGACTGGGGGGTTTGATCTGTGTGGGTGACTAAGGGATTGATCTATGCGAGTGACTGGGGAGTTGACCTACCGGGCATGCTCCTCGGGAAGCTTGCGCTGTCGCTGCATGTGGAACATCAGATCTCCACCGTTGACGTACTCAATGACGAAAAAGAGCCTGCGCACACACACATACACACATACGAGCACACATACGCGCACACATACAAAACAATAACAACAACCGCCATTCGCCACTAAGTGGCAGTGACATCACCACGACGCTTGGCCTGGCACACATTCGCGCACACATACGCACACACATACGCGCACACATACGCGCACACATTCGCGCACACATTCGCGCACACATACAAAGACAGATTCCCCATATAGCCTTAACAGACTGTTGGGGCAAGCGCTGTTAGCGAGCACCTCTGAATGCCGGCACAGCACACGAGGTGGCGGGTGGCCAGCACCACACCCGGCCGCCTTTGTCTCCCCAGTGGCGATGTTTACACACCGCACCAGGTACTCATTTGAGGCTGGATCGACCTAGGGGAGGCCCAGGACCGGTTCAGATAATCGTCACCGGTGTTGGCCGTGAGCAGGGCGGCGGCGGCGTCGTCGTCGTCGTCACCCAATCAACACTCCCGGGGGGGGAAGGCCACGCGTCGGCAAGTGCCGGCGGGAATCCGTTCGTACGCGCGGTTCTTCTTCCCCGGTTCGAACGCGGAAGTGCTGCTCACCGGCTGTCCGTCTGGAAGCAGGAGTGGAGGCCCACGAGGAACGGGTGGTTGGAGGCCTGCTCAAACACGTGCTTCTCCGTCTGCACCCAGTCTATGTCCTACGCACAAAGGCAAAGAGATCCCCCACCCCCCGTACAGCGTTAACGGACTGTCGGGGTCGAGCGTCCGTGGTGCGGGAGCGATAGTGTAGCGGTTATCGCGCTGCGCTATGAACCCGGCGATCCGGGTTCGATTTCCGCTCACAGCCAACACCAGTGACGATTATCTGAACCGGTCCCGGGCCTCTCCTAGGTCGACTTAGCCTCAAATGAGTACCTGGTGCAGTGTGTAAACATCGCCACTGGGGAGACAAAGGCGGCCGGGCGTGGTGCTGGCTACCCACCCCCTCGTGTACCGTTCCGGCCTTCAAAGGTGCTCGCGAACAGCACTTGCCCCTACAGTCTGTTAAGGCTATACGGGGGATATTTGGCTTTGTTTCTCTCGTGCGGCAGGGCAGGTGGGAAAATGCTGTCCCCCCCCACCCCCCCTCCCCCGCTTTGTGGAGTGGAGGTCACTTGAAGGGATCTGATATCCGCTCCATTGGGTCGTTCTCTGGCACAAAGGATTGAGGGCTGTTGGGCCGGTCTCTAACGTAAAGGATTGTGGAGACGCTTCTCTCTAACGCAAAAAAATGTGGGCTGCTCTCTAAGGCAAAGACTTATGGGCTGCTCTCTAACGTGAATAATTGTGGGGACCATTCTGTAATGCAAAGGATCGTGGACCATTATATAATGCAAAGGATTGTGGGCCGCTGTCTAACGCCAGGGATTGTGGGCACCATCATCCAACGTGAATGGCCGCACTGCTCTGCGCAAGATCCAGTTGGATGCTACGTCACGTGACACAACGCCAGTAGCTAAACTGGGAGCCATGGCGGCAAGATGTTAACTCCCTCACCTCCTCGTATACAGGAGGTCGTGGGTTCGTGGGTTTGATCCCGACCCTGACGCATGTGTATTGGAGTTTGCGTGGCTCTCTCCCCGCGGTCACGTGGATTTCTCTCGGTGGGCTTTTAAGAGTATTTCTGCTATAAATTTCAACGTGAGAAGCCGCTTGGCCAGGTCGCTTCTGAAAGAGCGACACAGTACAGTGGGGCTTACCTGGTCAAGTAATTTTTTTTTATTGTAAGTTTCACGTCGGCCATAAAAGCTCCCCTGGGGCCTCTCCGGCACAAACGCGCGACATCACCGGAGGCCACCTGGCCAGCCACGCGCGGAACCTTCCCCAACCCCACAGCCTCCTCTCCCCCCCACCCCCCACCCCCCACCTCGTCATCGTTGACGAGCTCCTTCTTGACGACCTTCATGGCGTAGATCCTCTGGGTCTGCTTGAGCCGCACGAGCAGCACCTTGGCGTAGCTGCCTCTCCCGATCACGCGGATCAGATCGAAGTCCGGCAGGCCCAGGCCTGCGTGCGCCTGCCTCCCGCCCTGCGGAGGCTGGGGGAGACGGGAAGGGGTTGCAGACGGGCCAGACAAGACGCGCGGTTGGATGGACGGACATGTGGATTAAGGGATGGTTGGATGATCGGACGGATGGATGGGTGGATGGACAAATGGATGGATAGATGGCAAGACGGATGGTTGGTTGAATGGATGGATATGGATGGATGGATAAATAGATGGACATGCGGATGGTTGGTTGGATAGATGGACAAATGGATGGATGGACAAACGTGTGGATGAATGGATGATTGGTTGAAAGGGTGGATGGAAGTGGTAATTTTTTTTACTTTCAAAGCTAAAAAATTGAACAGCGTGCCTGAGAATGATTACGGACAGAGAGACGTCCGTAATCATTCTAAGGCACAGCAATGACGCTGCCTGGTGTCAAAGCGAAGACAAAGTATCTCACCTCTTCTGGTTTGCCGATGTTTGGCAGCCTGTAGGGCAAGTCTGCAAGGGAAAAATATACAGCAGCAGCAACAACAACAAAATGTCAACAACCACACAAGTGTCCAGACGGCCGGCTGGGTTCACAATGGCCAGGTCCGGCGTGGCAGAGCACCGAGCAGGCACGGTCGAGAACCTGGATTCAACCCCCCCCCCCCCGCCACGTGGGGTGGGGGTTCAACCGGCCTCTCGGGTGCACTGGCAATCGCCACGCTCGCGCCACTGCTGGCGGAAGGGCCTACAACTCGAGCAGCTCCTTTGGCCTACTCGTCCACGTCCTGGAAAATGTGGGGGTGCCCACGGATTTGATCGTCCGCGGCTGGGCGCAGGATATGGGCACGCCGGTAACCCGAGTGGGCCCGATGGGATATGTACAAATATCCCTTGTATATTGAACGAGAGCTGCATGTGTGTGTGTGTGGTGTGTGGTAGGCCGAATTGTGCGTTGACTGACACTCAAATCACGATCACAGACAGCAGCAGCAATCGCCGCCGCCCCCCCCCCTCGCTGGCCCCCCCTCGCTGGCCCCCACTCGCAGGCTCGGTGCCTCGCCGCGCCGTGCCTCGCCGCGCTGTGCCCCGCCGCACTGTGCCCCGCCGCACTGTGCCGAGGCGCACTGTGCCTAGCCGCGCTGTGCCGCACAGGGACAGCTACCGCTGGGGTGGTGAGGGAGAGATGCCCTTTCAAAAATGTGAGGCGCGACGTGCAGGTCGTCGCCCGTCGCGTGTGAAGCGCCCTGAAGAAGCTCCCTTGCGTAATGGCGGCGGCGGCTGCTGCTGCTAGGGTGTGTGAACCAGAGCTCCTTCTTCACACGGTGCTATGCCCGCGTTGGCCTTCCCTTCACTGCCTTCCAGGTTCACGCGGAATCCGGTTTAAAATCCTATTGTTAACTTACAAAGCAGTGAACCATCTCGCCCCGGCCTCCATCATTGCCATGCTGCACCCCCACGTGTCCCCCTCAAGGCCCCTAGCACGTGAGAGTGCAGCTGTTGTCTCTGCGTCCCCAGGTCACGGCGTCTTCGCTCTGTGGGTGACCGTCCGAGGCGTTGTCACCGTGAAGCCCCCAGGCCACGGATCGCTGTCCCACGAGACATCAGAGTGATCTCTCTGAGCCTGTGGGCATTTTTTTAATAACATACCCTTCCTCTTACTAAACGTTGAGTTCATTAGAGAAAATGGGATTCTTCAAATGTATTAATAATCATTTTCATGCTGAGAAGTCTGCTGCTGCGTCCTGTGTCCAGCGCTTTGAGATCCTTGATGAAAAGTGCCGTATAAATGTTCGTAGTATTATCTCCCGAACACGATTCTCACGGCTCCATCTCCACGGAAAGGGGGGAGAGGGGGGCGGCACTTGTACCACGGCTGCATCTCAGAGCCCTGCTGTACACGCGTGTCCACGTGTGTCCCTGTCTCCCTGTAGAGAAGCAGGCCGTCGTAGACTCCGAGCCCGGCCTATCATCCGAGTCCGACGCCTTCCCTACTTTGTTTATATTAACTTTTTTTATTTTTAGTCACTTGCTTACTCTTGAATAATCATTATTATTTATTATTATATTTTGTTTATATTTACTTAATTTTAGCTTACCACTTTCCTCCATTTTTTTATCGTATCGTTGTTGTTTTTTTATTGTTGTTGTAAACTTGACGACAACCCGCCGCCCGACCGGAACATCGGTGAGACAAGAGCTTCGCGGCTCATCGGATTCCGTCTGACCTGTGCTGCCCTCTCCCGGCGGGATGTTCTCGATGTCGTCAGAGTGCACGCTGTCCTGGTTGCCGTGCTGGTGAGGGCTCGGTAGCGTCGTGGGCTCCTGGCATTCACAATCACCGTCGTTAGTATCCCGCCTGGGTGATCACCACCACCACCATCATCATCATCAACACTACCATCATCATCACCACCACCACCATCACTATCATCGTCATCATCATCACCACCACCACCATCACCAACACCACCACATCACCATCATCAACACCACCATCACCATCATCACTACCACCACCACTGCAACCACTACTGCCACCGCCAGCACCATCATCCCTAACCGTTATAATCGCAAACACCATCAGCATCATTATTATCATCAAACTCCAGAGGTTTAAAATCCTTCTCATCATAATCAGCAGCAACGTGGATCATCATCATCATCATTCATAACCTTAATAATCTCAACCACCATAAGCGTGATTGTCATAATCATGAGGATTAAAATCATCATCATCATTGGTATCAACATAGTCACTGTGATCATCATGATCATCGTAATTATTACCATAATAATCTCAATAACCATCAGCAGCATCGTCATCACCAACATTACCATGATTGTCATAATCATGACGATTGAAAGCATCATTAGGGTTTGTATCAACATCGTCACCAACTGTCATACTCCGAGTTATCTCTATCACCTGAGTCAAATATCATCGTCGTCATCCCCGTCGTCGTCGTCATCCTCATCGTCGTCGTCATCCTCATTGTTGTTGTCGCTGCGTAGCGCCGGGTCACCCCAAGATTGAAAACCCAATAAATGACGCGGACGCGCATTCACGACGCTATATCACGCCGTGACCGCACTAATACGCGTCGCTCGCCAACGGCACGTCCCCCGCACCGGCCTGCCAGAAGCGACCACGGGTACCTTCGCCCGTGTGTGCGCGCACGCGCGCGCCCCCTCTTACCATGTTCCTGCCACACTCCACTGCCACCAGCTTGTGGCATCGCTTGTGCACCAGCAGCTTGCAGTTGATGCACTTGTAGCCCTGCCGGCCCAGCCCCCAAATGCGGTCGGTGCAGTAGGCGCAAAACGCACGCTGCGGTTCGCGGGACCAACGCAGGGTGGGGGGGGGGGGGACACGGAGTGGGTGGGCAGAGTTAGCCTAAATCGAAACTATTTTTATTTCACCAGGTAAGGGCCCACTGAGCTGTATAGCTCATTTTACAGAAGCGACGTGGCTGTTACGAATGATCGCTCAACAAAGTGGCTGAATCGTCATCACGAGGAAACTTGTAGCAGCAGCCAAATACTGTAAACGCGTGGTGATGTCGTTTAAATTATGGGGAGTTGGAAAAAAAACCTGAGGACCTGGAGAAAATGTCACGTGACCACGGGGAGAGAGACACCGCAAACGACAAATATACAGCAAGCGTCCGGGTCGGGATCGAACCCACAACCTCCTGCATACCGGGCGAGGTAGTTAACATCTCCTCACCATCGAGCGGTGGCCCGAAAGTCACTATACACAGGGTGATTATTACACAGGGTGGCCCAAAAGTTAAAACACAGTGCTATTATTATACAGGGTGGCCCAAAAGTTAAAACACAGTGCTATTATTACACAGGGTGGCCCAAAAGTTAAAACACAGTGCTATTATTATACAGGGTGGCCCGAAAGTTAAAACACAGTGCTATTATTATACAGGGTGGCCCAAAAGTTAAAACACAGTGCTATTATTATACAGGGTGGCCCGAAAGTTAAAACACAGTGCTATTATTACACAGGGTGGCCCAAAAGTTAAAACACAGTGCTATTATTACACAGGGTGGCCCAAAAGTTAAAACACAGTGCTATTATTACACAGGGTGGCCCAAAAGTTAAAACACAGTGCTATTATTATACAGGGTGGCCCAAAAGTTAAAACACAGTGCTATTATTATACAGGGTGGCCCGAAAGTTAAAACAACACAGTGCTATTATTACACAGGGTGGCTCAAAAGTTAAAACACAGTGCTATTATTACACAGGGTGGCCCGAAAGTTAAAACAGTGCTAATATTATACAGGGTGGCCAAAAAGTCAGGACACACAGGGTGATTGTTATAAAGAGTAGCCCAGAAGTCAGGACACAGGGGGTTATTCTAATTATTTCAACAAATCGCACAGGGGTTACTTCATTATCGTTTTAACAAACGCTCAAACTGACGTCCATGAATATTAATGGGTGTTGGATGAATTATCTTTTGAAATGAATGTAAGTATTCTTTTTTTTTTGTTCACGATCACAGCTGCGTCATCTTTGAGCATTGTATCAGCTGTCCTTTGTCTAGATTCGTTCTTTTATGGGTTCTTGGTCGAGCTTTGTAAACTACAGATTTGAGGTAACCGCACAGGAGGAAGAATAACCAATTAAATTGTTGTAATGCCAGTGTTAAAATAAATGAAATGACCCAAATGCGTTCTGACTTTTAGGCAACCCTGTATATTTTTTTCCATTTAAGGCAAATGTAGTGACATGGAATGGGTCACTATGGAGCATAGAGCTGGTTGCTGGCAGAGAAAAGGATCTCCGGTTGCAGCAGCCCTGTCTGTCAGCAGGTCACGTGATAAGCAGAGAGAGGGGGATGTAGGGCAAAGGTGATAGAGGGGGCACGAGAGGAGAAGAGGGGACCCCGAGCGAAGGTTTGGGGCTGTGCTTGGAGTGGAATCCCGTCGGACTGCCAGTCTTCGTCACCATCTTCACCTTCTCGGCGTTGTCAGTCCGGCAGTCTGTTAGCTGTCCTTGCTGAAAGTGTAGTCACCCCTTGTACCCTGTGAAGGCTATAATAAATAGAGTGCCTCCTGCTCCGAGTATCTCTGAGTGCATCACTACACAAATATAAAGATCCCCCGTGTAGCCTGAACAGACTGTTGGGGCAAGGGATGTTAGCGATTAGCACCTATGAAGGCCGGAAGGGGTGGCCAACAACACGCCCGGCCACCTTTGTTTCCCTCAACGCGATGTTTAGACACCATACCAGGACTGGTTCAGATAATCGTCACTGGTGCTGGCCGTGAGCGGGAATCGAACTCGGGTCACCAGGTTCGTAGCGCAGCACGCTAACCTCTGCACCACCGCTCCCTTTTAAGGTCACACACACACGATTTTGATGTTGACACAACAACAACGCATTGAGTTGTTGTTGTCTGTGCATGTGCACCACTGCTCATGCAGCAGCAGCAGCAGCAATCACCAGATAATTCGTATGGAATCAAATTCAATCCAGAGAATCACGTGACGACTCGTGGCTAAGGAGGGGATCGATCAGCGTGTGTACAGGGTGGGGAAAGGGAATAGGGAGAAAGAGAGAGAGGAGTGGGAGACAGAGCGGCAGAAATTACGGGAGAGTGGGAGCGCTTGTTTTTATTGCTGGTGACCCCTGGGGGAATATTACAGGTGGGAAAGGAGAAGAGATGATGGGAGATAGTGGTAGAGGAGCAGGAGGAGGGGGGGGAAGAGTGGGTTAGGAGACAATAGTGGGAGAGAGAGAGAGGGAGGCAGGTACAAGGAGAGTGGGAGGTAAAGTGGGAGAGAGTCTGAGAAAGTGTAGCTGTATGAGCGGCAGTGGGAGAGATAGTGAGATATGAGCAGAGAGCGGCAGGAGAGTCTCTATCCCCCCATTGGCCATGATCAATCCAGAATCTGTATTTATGCTACAGGAGGATTCCGATGTCCAGTAGGGCCACGGGGTAAGAACGTTACAACAACGAACGGTACACAAGCACGAAAGTGGTGCAAAGTACAAGAAAGGAAAACAAATGACCCAAACACAAACAAATACAACACTAAACCATACTCTTTGGTTTTTTTGGTAAAGTCACGTAGGTAAAAAATAAATAAAATAAATGAAATCTAAATTAAATCACGCCGTTTCGGGCGCAACACAAGCGTCCTTCTTCAGGTGGGGACAAAGTAGCCAAAGCACAAATAATTAAGCAGTCACGAAAGCTTCAAATCTAGAAACAACATGCAACCATCCCCCATCCGACCAGGCAAAGCCCACCGAGGTATTAATTTATTTTTCTGAAGCGACCTGGCCACCACAAATGATGGCTCAACAAAAGTGGCCTCTCATTTGGACATTTATAGCAGCAAAATAATATAAATGATCTCAAAGCATGCTGGGATATCAAGGCCTCCCCCCCAGAGGTTTTTTCAGCGCGATTCTGTCCTCTGCCGTTTGTTTTTTGATCTGGCTGGAGGGAGACAGCCTCTCACGTGACCCTGCAGGGGAGTGGGGACCCTACCGTAGGGGCAGTCTGACCCCATAACCTCTCACGTGACCCTGCAGGGGAGTGGGGACCCTACCCTAGGGGAGCTCTGACCCCATAACCTCTCACTTGACCCTGCAGGGGAGTGGGGACCCTACCCTAGGGGCAGTCTGCCCCATAACCTCTCACGTGACCCTGCAGGGGAGTGGGGACCCTACCCTAGGGGCAGTCTGACCCCATAACCTCTCACGTGACCCTGCAGGGGAGTGGGGACCCTACCCTAGAGACAGTCTGCCCCATAACCTCTCACGTGACCCTGCAGGGGAGTGGGGACCCTACCCTAGGGGCAGTCTGACCCCATAACCTCTCACGTGACCCTGCAGGGGAGTGGGGACCCTACCCTAGGGGAGCTCTGACCCCATAACCTCTCACTTGACCCTGCAGGGGAGTGGGGACCCTACCCTAGGGGCAGTCTGCCCCATAACCTCTCACGTGACCCTGCAGGGGAGTGGGGACCCTACCCTAGGGGCAGTCTGACCCCATAACCTCTCACGTGACCCTGCAGGGGAGTGGGGACGCTACCCTAGGGGCAGTCTGCCCCATAACCTCTCACGTGACCCTGCAGGGGAGTGGGGACCCTACCCTAGGGGCAGTCTGACCCCATAACCTCTCACGTGACCCTACAGGGGAGTGGGGACCCTACCCTAGGGGCAGTCTGACCCCATAACCTCTCACGTGACCCTGCAGGGGAGTGGGGACCCTACCCTAGGGGAGCTCTGACCCCATAACCTCTCACTTGACCCTGCAGGGGAGTGGGGACCCTAACCTAGGGGCACTCTGACCCCATAACCTCTCACTTGACCCTGCAGGGGAGTGGGGACCCTACCCTAGGGGAGCTCTGACCCCATAACCTCTCACGTGACCCTGCAGGGGAGTGGGGACCCTACCCTAGGGGAGCTCTGACCCCATAACCTCTCACTTGACCCTGCAGGGGAGTGGGGACCCTAACCTAGGGGCGCTCTGACCCCATAACCTCTCACGTGACCCTGCAGGGGAGTGGGGACCCTACCCTAGGGGCAGTCTGACCCCATAACCTCTCACGTGACCCTGCAGGGGAGTGGGGACCCTAACCTAGGGGCACTCTGACCCCATAACCTCTCACGTGACCCTGCAGGGGAGTGGGGACGCTAACCTAGGGGCGCTCTGACCCCATAACCTCTCCCTTGACCCTACAGGGGAGTGGGGACCCTACCCTAGGGGCACTCCGACCCCATAACCTCTCCCTTGACCCTACAGGGGAGTGGGGACCCTACCCTAGGAGCGCTCTGACCCCATAACCTCTCCCTTGACCCTACAGGGGAGTGGGGACCCTAACCTAGGGGCGCTCTGACACCATAACCTCTCACGTGACCCTGCAGGGGAGTGGGGACCCTACCCTAGGGGAGCTCTGACCCCATAACCTCTCACTTGACCCTGCAGGGGAGTGGAGACCCTAACCTAGGGGCGCTCTGACCCCATAACCTCTCACGTGACCCTGCAGGGGAGTGGGGACCCTACCCTAGGGGCAGTCTGACCCCATAACCTCTCACGTGACCCTGCAGGGGAGTGGGGACCCTAACCTAGGGGCACTCTGACCCCATAACCTCTCACGTGACCCTGCAGGGGAGTGGGGACGCTAACCTAGGGGCGCTCTGACCCCATAACCTCTCCCTTGACCCTACAGGCGAGTGGGGACCCTACCCTAGGGGCACTCCGACCCCATAACCTCTCCCTTGACCCTACAGGGGAGTGGGGACCCTACCCTAGGGGCACTCCGACCCCATACCCTCGGACAGCCGGGACCTCCCCAGGAAGCAACAGCTCCCATGACGTGGCACGCCGGGTAATGTGCGGGTGGCCACCGGAGGCAGACGTCTGCTGTCGGGGGTCGCCGTAGCACGGGCCGACCGGCTTAATGAGACGTGTCCTCCACGTGCGCCGACAGTGAGGCGGGAGTCGCCAAACCGGTGGCCTGGTGTCTCTGCGACCCGGTGAACCGGTGATTCTGTCACCCGTTGAAATGGTAACTGAGACCAGGTGACTCTGACCAGGTGAAATGGTAAATGTGACCCGGTGACTCTGTGACCCGGTGACTCTGTGACCCGGTGACTCTGTGACGTGGTGACCCGGTGACTCTGTGATCCGGTGACTCTGTGATCCGGTGACACTGTGATCCGGTGAATCTGTGATCTGGTGACTCTGTGATCCGGTGAATCTGTGACCCGGTGACTCTGTGAGCCGGTGACTCTGTGACCCGGTGACACTGTGACCTGGCGACTGTGTGATCTGGTGACTGTGTGACCTGGTGACTCTGTGATCTGGTGACTGTGTGACCTGGTGACTGTGTGACCCGGTGACTGTGTGATCTGGTGACTCTGTGACCTGGTGACTCTGTGATCTGGTGACTGTGTGACCTGGTGACTGTGTGACCTGGTGACTGTGTGACCCGGTGACTGTGTGATCTGGTGACTGTGTGACCTGGTGACTGTGTGACCCGGTGACTGTGTGATCTGGTGACTCTGTGACCTGGTGACTCTGTGATCTGGTGACTGTGTGACCCGGTGACTGTGTGATCTGGTGACTCTGTGATCTGGTGACTGTGTGATCTGGTGACTGTGTGACCTGGTGACTGTGTGACCTGGTGATTGTGTGACCCGGTGACTGTGTGATCTGGTGACTGTGTGACCTGGTGACTGTGTGACCTGGTGACTGTGCGATCTGGTGACTGTGTGACCTGGTGACTGTGTGACCTGGTGACTCTGTGATCTGGTGACTGTGTGACCTGGTGACTGTGTGACCCGGTGACTGTGTGATCTGGTGACTGTGTGACCTGGTGACTGTGTGACCTAGTGACTGTGTGACCTGGTGACTCTGTGATCTGGTGACTGTGTGACCTGGTGACTGTGTGACCTGGTGACTGTGTGATCTGGTGACTGTGTGATCCGGTGACTCTGTGATCCGGTGACTGTGTGACCTGGTGACTGTGTGATCTGGTGACTGTGTGACCCGGTGACTCTGTAAGCCGGTGACTCTGTGACCCGGTGACTCTGTGATCTGGTGACTGTGTGACCTGGTGACTCTGTGACCCGGTGCGGACCACCTGATGCATACCCGGTTGAATCGCTTTGCCTGGAAGGTGTGCCCGTTCACAAGGTAGAGCTTCCTCCAGCGCCGCGCCCCGCGCCGGTAGATTGACTCTGCCGGGCGGGGAGAGCAGGAGGGAGAGCGGCGGGGAGAGCGGGGGGGAGAGTGGGAAGGAGAGTGGGAGAGGGAGAATGGGAGAATGGGAGGCAGAATGGGAGGCAGAGTGGGAGGGAGAGTGGGAGGGAGAGACGAGTGAGGGATAAAAAGTGGGAGAGGGAGAGTGGGAGAGACATAGAGAGAGGGGAAGACTTTTAATAAAAACGTGGCGATCATTCATCACGGCGGACTCGGCAAATCGCAAACAAAATGAAGAATGCGACGAGAACGAGAGGAGACAACCGGACAAACACGAATGAGGGGGATGAATGAAACAGAGGCACTGAATGAGATAGAGAGACACGAGAGCAGAAGCATCATCAAGACAGAAGACAAACACGAGACAGACAGCAAGAAATCAGATACGGATACATCGACAGATACAAAAGATAGAGAGACGAGGCAGTGAAAGATTCAGGAGATAGACACATGAATGAGACACAGAAGACATCAATGAGACAGAGAGGATTCGATTAAACAGACGCAGATGATTGGCGGAAATAAAACGAATGCACTCGAGCCGCCGCGTGAAGTGAGATGGGAGACGTGCTCGCAAGAGACGCAGCAGAGACGTGATCAGCAGGGGAGTTAGGACGGAGAGAGAGAGAGACGTGAGACACAGGCATGGGAGACACAAGACAAACGAGTGAATGAGACACGGACGCGAATGAGACGTGGGGGACAGACAGACACACCGATGAGACGTGAGGGACAGACAGAGACACCGATGAGACGTGGGGGTACAGCGAGAGACACCGATCATACGTGGGGGACAGACAGAGACACCGATGAGACGTGAGGGACAGAGACACCGATGACACGTGATGGACAGACAGAGACACCGATGACACGTGGGGGACAGAGACACCGATGAGACGTGAGGGACAGACAGAGACACCGATGACACGTGAGGGACAGACAGAGACACCGATGAGACGTGAGGGACAGACAGAGACACCGATGAGACGTGAGGGACAGACAGAGACACCGATGAAACGTGGGGGACAGACAGAGACACCGATGAGACGTGAGGGACAGACAGAGACACCGATGAGACGTGGGGGACAGACAGAGACACCGATGACACGTGAGGGACAGACAGAGACACCGATGACACGTGAGGGACAGACAGAGACACCGATGGGACGTGAGGGACAGAGACACCGATGAGACGTGAGGGACAGACAGAGACAACGATGAGACGAAGGGACAGACAGAAACACCGATGAGACGTGGGGGACAAACAGAGACACCGATGACACGTGAGGGACAGACAGAGACACCGATGAGACGTGAGGGACAGACAGACACCGATGAGACGTGAGGAACAGAGACACCGATGACATGTGGGGGACAGACAGAGACACCGATGACACGTGAGGGACAGAGACACCGATGAGACGTGAGGGACAGACAGAGACACCGATGACACGTGAGGGACAGAGACACCGATGACACGTGGGGGACAGACAGAGACACCGATGACACGTGAGGGACAGAGACACCGATAAGACGTGGGGGACAGACAGAGACACCGATGAGACGTGAGGGACAGAGACACCGATGACACGTGAGGGACAGACAGAGACACCGATGACACGTGAGGGACAGACAGAGACACCGATGAGACGTGGGCGACAGACAGAGACACCGATGACACGTGGGGGACAGACAGAGATACCGATGACACGTGAGGGACAGAGACACCGATGACACGTGGGGGACAGACAGAGACACCGATGAGACGTGAGGGACAGACAGAGACACCGATGAGACGTGGGGGACAGACAGAGACACCGATGAGACGTGAGGGACAGACAGAGACACCGATGAGACGTGAGGGACAGACAGAGACATCGATGAGACGTGAGGGACAGACAGAGACACCGATGAGACGTGAGGGACAGACAGAGACACCGATGAGACGTGAGGGACAGACAGAGACACCGATGAGACCTGAGGGACAGACAGAGACACCGATGAGATGTGAGGGACAGACAGAGACACCGATGACACGTGGGGACACATGACAGAGACAGAAAGACAATGGGGTCACAACAGACACAGAGTACTTCTGGAAGCGACGCACAGACCGGCAAGCGGACAGACGGGACGAGCAAAGTAACGCGATGCAGACAAAGATTCCCCGTATAGCCTTTAATAGACTGTCTGGTCAAGTGCTGTTAGCGATTAACATTTATGAAGGCCGGCACAGCACACGACGGGGTGGTGTGACAAACGCAAAGCCCGGCCACCTTTGTCTCCCCAGTGCTGATGTTCAGATATCCGCCACTGTTGTTGGCCGCGAGCGGGGAATTGAACTCGCCGGGTTCGTAGCGCAGTTTGCTAACCGCTTGCACGACCCGCTCCCTAACATGCTAATGTACACACACACACACATGCTCGAGCGCACACACACACACGTGCTCACCCGCGTGCGCACACACACACACACGTGCTCACGCGCGCGCACACACACACGTGCTCACGCGCGCGCACACACACACACATGCTAACACACGCAAACACACGTGCTCACGCGCGCACACACACGTGTTCACGCGCGCGCGCACACACACAAACACGTGCTCACGCGCGCACACACACACGTGCTCACGCGCGCACACACACACACGTGCTCACACGTGCTCACACGTGCTCACGCACGCGCACACACACACACGTACGAGCTCATGCCCTCCCCTCTGACGATGAATGCAACCGACACAACAGCAACGCACGCACGCACTGTGAAGGTCATTTTGCCAGCGGGCGATCGGATAATCAAAGCCGTGATAGGAAAACGATGAGGCAAAGGTGCCCCCCACCCCCGTGGCTCTCAGGGGGTTCACAATGGCGATGTCAGACACGCGCTACCAGCAACCCGCTAAGAACCTGAGTTGGAATCCCCTCCCCCCTCCACAAACAAAGACAAAGATCCTCAGATAGTCTGAACAAACTGTTGGGGCAAGTGCTGTTAGCAAGTTGCAGCTATGAAGGCCGTCACGGCGCACGCGAGGGGGGTGGGGTGGGTGGTCAACACCACACCCGGCAGCCTTTGTCTCTGCCCAGTGACGGTGGTTACACATCGCACCAGGTACTCATTTGAGGCTGTGTCACTGGTGTTGGCCGTGAATGGGAATCGAACTCAGGTCACCGGGTTCAGAGCCCGCTCCCCCCCACACACAAACAGTACACGTGTATACACGCACTCGATACACACATTGAGCCACTCGCACAAAGACACACGCACACACACTGGCTACTGAGATAAAAATTCGCAAATTGATTGCACTAACCCTGACACTCCTGCTAGCCCCATCACTCCTGCTAGCCCCCATCACTCACGCTAGCCCCATCACTCCTGCTAGCCCCCATCACTCACGCTAGCCCCATCACTCCTGATAGCCCCATCACTCCTGCTAGCCCACATCACTCCTGCTAGCCCCCATCACTCCTGCTAGCCCCATCACTCCTGCTAGCCCCCATCACTCCTGCTAGCCCCCATCACTCCTGCTAGCCCCCATCACTCCTGCTAGCCCCCATCACTCCTGCTAGCCCCCATCACTCACGCTAGCCCCCATCACTCACGCTAGCCCCATCGCTCACGCTAGCCCCATCACTCCTGCTAGCCCCATCACTCCTGCTAGCCCCATCACTCCTGATAGCCCCCATCACTCCTGATAGCCCCCATCACTCCTGCTAGCTCCATCACTCCTGATAGCCCCCATCACTCCTGATAGCCCCCATCACTCACGCTAGCCCCATCACTCCTGCTAGCCCCATCACTCCTGCTAGCCCCATCACTCCTGCTAGCCCCATCACTCCTGCTAGCCCCATCACTCCTGATAGCCCCCATCACTCACGCTAGCCCCATCACTCCTGATATCCCCATCACTCACGCTAGCCCCATCACTCACGCTAGCCCCATCACTCCTGATAGCCCCCATCACTCACGCTAGCCCCATCACTCCTGATAGCCCCATCACTCCTGATAGCCCCCATCACTCACGCTAGCCCCATCACTCCTGATAGCCCCCATCACTCCTGCTAGCCCCATCACTCACGCTAGCCCCATCACTCCTGATAGCCCCCATCACTCCTGCTAGCCCCATCACTCACGCTAGCCCCATCACTCCTGCTAGCCCCATCACTCCTGATAGCCCCCATCACTCCTGATAGCCCCCATCACTCCTGCTAGCCCCCATCACTCACGCTAGCCCCATCACTCCTGCTAGTCCCATCACTCCTGATAGCCCCCATCACTCCTAACCCCCATCACTCACGCTAGCCCCATCACTCCTGACAGCCCCATCACTCCTGCTAGCCCCATCACTCCTGCTAGCCCCATCACTCACGCTAGCCCCATCACTCCTGCTAGCCCCCATCACTCACGCTAGCCCCATCACTCCTGCTAGCCCCCATCACTCACGCTAGCCCCCATCACTCCTGATAGCCCCCATCACTCACGCTAGCCCCATCACTCCTGATAGCCCCATCACTCCTGCTAGCCCCATCACTCACGCTAGCCCTATCACTCCTGCTAGCCCCCATCACTCACGCTAGCCCCATCACTCCTGCTAGCCCCCATCACTCACGCTAGCCCCCATCACTCCTGCTAGCCCCATCACTCCTGCTAGCCCCATCACTCCTGATAGCCCCCATCACTCCTGCTAGCCCCATCACTCCTGCTAGCCCCATCACTCCTGCTAGCCCCATCACTCCTGATAGCCCCCATCACTCCTGCTAGCCCCCATCACTCACGCTAGCCCCATCACTCCTGCTAGTCCCATCACTCCTGATAGCCCCCATCACTCCTAACCCCCATCACTCACGCTAGCCCCATCACTCCTGCTAGCCCCCATCACTCACGCTAGCCCCATCACTCCTGCTAGCCCCCATCACTCACGCTAGCCCCCATTACTCCTGATAGCCCCCATCACTCACGCTAGCCCCA